CACATCTTCGCAGGATGTTGGAACCAAAGGCCCAGACTAGTGTTACACCATGAGCTATCTCAGTCTGTCATGAACCAACCTGCTAAAAACAGAAGCAAAAAAAAAAGTTCACGCTTCATTTAAATCTGTCTTTATGATACAAATATTCTTGTCTCTTCACGAGTGTTTACTGTGTTACTACCCACAGCATCCACAAACTAAAGGCAAATCCAGTAAAGATATTCATTCTGATCCCATAAAATGTTAATTAACATGTCCAGAGGAATCTTAAAACCTGGTCTCCCTGGGGAAGCAGTGAAAGCACATGGTTTAGATGTCAGGGCTTCTGTAACGTTCCAAGATCACTTTGACATGAACATTGTCTCCACATTAGTTCCAATCTTCTATTTTACAGAATCCTTGTTTTGTCAGAACTGGTCAAGAATGTCCAGCCTTAGTGTCCACAATGGCACAAGCTGCTGCTGGTCAGAAAGTAGACCCAATCATTTCTGGTTACTTGAAGCAGATATTGCTCCAGAGGCACATTAGATAATTCAATTCTTTCTAGAAACCAAAAAAAAACGAGAACATGTGCAGACTAAACAATATCTTTACACAACGCAGTAACTTCAGACTGATGATAAATATAACTAAGAAGGTAGCAGGCGCATCTGTAATCCTGGACATGTTAACAAATGGCCATTGTGTAGAAAAACAAAGCACACGTTGTACAAGCTGAGCCCGTTTGATCAATTACTTATCGGATGAAGTAACATACTGCTGCCATCGTGGGATGCTATCGCGCTTCATTTGACAGCTGCTGGGGGAAAACACCGCTGCGACTCACAAGCTAATAACTTGCTGGAGGAGCTACAGGAAGGCATTACATTTAGTTGTTGCGCGTTAGCTAATTAGCTTTCGTGTAGAAGCAAAAAGCTAATGTTAGTCATCTCTATTGAGATGCTAATATTTGCTACGACACAGACAAATAATCAACTAAATTTATGCCGCATAGCCGTTAATTATGTTTCGACGTACCGTAAAACGTTGGAAATTATCGCAAATTGTCGCAAAACTATTAACGCTCACGCTAACGTTGAATATCTCTCCACAAGCCAACATTTTTCAGTCAGGTCATCTGGGCAGTTTTTTTTTGTTTGTTTTTTTTGTTCTGAAACGTTTCGCCTTCGATCCGGAAGGCTTCATCAGTCAAGGAAGCACACAATAAAACTGATTCTTGCCCCAACAGCTTACTCCAAAGTGGAACAAACCAGTTCTGCTTGTGATAAGATGGTCTCTTTGGTACGCCCCTCCTCCATTGCCGGCCCTCTTCCTTGTTGACAGTCGTGTCAAACTGGTTGAAAACAACAAAGTCCATGCTCAATAATCCAGGTATACAATCCAACATTTTTCAGTCAGGTCATCTGGATAGTTTTTTTTTTTTTTTTTTTTTTTTTTGTGCTGAAACGTTTCGCCTTCGATCCGGAAGGCTTCATCAGTCAAGGAAACACACAACAAAACTGATTCTTCCCCCAACTGTCCAGATGACCTGACTGAAAATTGTTGGATTCTATACCTGGATTATTGAGCATGGACTTTGTTGTTTTCAACCAGTTTGACACGACCGTCAACAAGGAAGAGGGCCGGCAATGGAGGAGGGGCGTACCAAAGAGACCATCTTACCACAAGCAGAACTGGTTTGTTCCACTTTGGAGTAAGCAGTTGGGGGAAGAATCAGTTTTGTTGTGTGTTTCCTTGACTGATGAAGCCTTCCGGATCGAAGGCGAAACGTTTCAGCACAAATAAAAAGAAACTGTCCAGATGACCTGACTGAAAAATGTTGGATTGTATACCTGGATTATTGAGCATGGACTTTGTTATCTCTCCACAAGCGTTATTGTTTACCAGCCGCCTTGGTTTAGCGGGCTGCATACACAAAATGATGTGTGTACAGGGTAAGTGCTCGTTCCCCACACCTGGGGATCGGATCGGTAGCCTTGCAGATTGCGCACGCGCTGCATTTGATTTCTGCTGCGTCATGGATTTCAGTGATCCTGTGCAGCTGGGTGACTTTTAGAGATTTAAAGACTGTAGCACAAATAAAAATGTAAAATATCACCCACTAGGTATCAGTTACTCACCTATCTCAAAGTGCTCCTGAAACCTGGTACTTTTTTCATTCAATCTTTATTTATACAGGTTAATCCCATTGAGCCATGGGGACTCATTTACAAGAGAGACCTTAACAAATGATGACAACAGTGAATAACAACAAGACATTCACAAAAGTGGCACACAAATGTAATATTTTTTTTTTTTACAAATAAAGCGGGGCAAAAAGTGTGTGTGCTGGGTGAGTGGGGTCCTTCAGGATGCATGAGTTCACAGAGTTACCTAGTACTAGGTACACCTATTATTAGATAAAATATAACCTTTTTCTGTTATCCTTCATGGTTTTTTCATTTAATCTTTGAATGACCCCCTCCTCTGAAGCTAATTTTCCATGGAAGACCCTACCAGGAGCTAACTCTCGAGACAACAAAGCCCACAGAACCACAGGGGGAATCAAACCCACCCACCATGTTAAGGAAGGGGGGGGGGGGGGGTGTTCTGTGGAGAGGATAAACTCAGATATACATCTGCAGAAAATGTAGTTAAGACTTCCACCTTGACATGTGCTAGTGGCTTGGTTATAGTGTGCTCAGTGAGTGGCAGAAAATCTGAATTTCAGCTTTGGTTTAAGAAGTCTTCCTGATGTGATGATAAATCCTGTTGGGTCAATTTATAATTAAAGTGGTGGAGTGGTTGAAGACAATTGAGGAGTAGAGCCAAATTTCTGCAATCCAGTCTTTTGCTTTTGAAAATAATGTTAAAAAAACATTCAGTATTGCATTTACGTCAAGAAGCACATTTATCTTTGCCAACTGCTGGCTTAAATGTCCCCGGGGAACGTCAGTTGATGGACATGTTTATTAAGTATAAACATTTTTTAGACAATTTCCTTCCTGTCCATAATTTCTCAGAGACACAACCCAGCATCCCTTCAAGCACATGGTGTCATTCTACAATAAATGGATGGGAATATACTTGGAAAATATAAAATGAGATGAACACCTGGATTCATTTCACACGTTTGATCTCTTTGGGAAATTGGAAATCAATCTGGGGTACATAAAAACATCTGAGCCTGCGTTTAATTTTTATTCTCACAAAGAAAATAAAAAAGATCAAACAACCATGTGCAATTCATAAAAACAGATTTATAGATATACTTTTTATGATAAATATATATTCAATAAAATGTTTATTCAGCACTTTACAGAAATAACTCAACAGACATTAAAAGTCTAAATAGAAATATACAAGGCAATACAATCCTGGCAGGAACTTTTAACATTATAATGTCCTCAAATCACAAAAATCCATTTTATATTTACATTTTTTTTAAATCTGTGTAACATATTCATTAATAATTCTGCAGATATAGGAGTTAAAAACCTTTGACAATAAAAAAATGGCTTTAATCAAGAGCTCAGATTTATAATATTTTCTCAGTCTATGAAACAATGAATAAAAATACAAAAAATGGTATTAAGGATTGTGTGAATAATGAAAAGAAACAAATCAAAGAATTTCAAAAAAGCAATTTTTGTACATAGGAAGTTAAAATTGTTGAAACATTTAAATAAAAACCTGTTCAAAGATCATTCCTTAAACCAACTGCACAACAAAATGCTGTAAAAGTATTATTGTCCATATTTCTTTCTGTGCAAATACCTTGGTTTGAATGAAAGCCTGTTTCGTGTCAGTGGGTGTGTACGGTTCTACTCAGCTTTTCCAACGAGAGCAATTAGCTCTGGCTAACGGGAACAAAACAGGAAAATCTGAACACACCAGCTGGAATGTGTACAGCTCATGTGAACAACTTGACCCATCTGTGGATGGTTATTGCCCATGCCAAAGACAAAGCACTGATGTTCTAGTTTGTATTGTTAGCAAAATATCTCATGAAACACTGAACAGATTTTAATTAAACTCTCAGAAAGTAACCACTTGGTTTTGGACTCCACCTGAATTAAGATGGCTGCCGCAGCAAAGCAGTCTTAACAAACACATACATGCGTGTAACTCTGTCAATTTTACAGATATTGAGCTAAAATTTGGAGTGGTAGGAACTGAGAGTCATCCTCAACTTATAGGTTGAGGTCTAGCTGATTGTGCAAGAGCTGTATTTAAAAATTTCCCACTAACTACTAGAGTTGTCCCTGGTGTTAGCAATATATCTCATGAAAAACTGAATGGGTAACCATTTAGCTGACATCTGCAAGTGATTAACCTTTGGAGCCAACCCAATTCAAGATGGCCACCACAGCTAGTTGAAATTAGAAAAAAGCAAACATGTCTATAATTCAATTACTTTTCCAGATATTTAGATAAAAGTTGATGTGGTAGTAGCTGAACATCGCCTTCAACACATACTCTGAACACAAAACACTGTGCAATATCTTTCTTAAAACATTGGCATGACCAGTCAAAGGTAACCCTGTTTGTCTGTTAGCAAAATATTTTATAAACTACTGGACTGATAGCAATGAAACTATCCAAAACTAATCAGTGTCAAGTGATTAACCTTTGGAGCCAACTCAGTTCAAGACGGCCACCACAGATAGTTGAAATTAGTCTACACTAAAATGGATTTACCTCAGTGAATTTTGCAGATGCTGAAGTCAAATTTGACGTGTTAGTAGCTGAGTCATTTGCAACACTTGCTCCAAGCACTCACGCAAAATCCCAGGACATTGGACATAAGGTTAGGTTGTTAAAAAAAACTGCCTCCAACTTTTATCTATGTAAACTGAGCTCAGTTTAAAACTCTGGCATGAAAGGAAGCAGGTGGCATTCAAGGAACGTTGACCCTTAAATGTAGTATCTCTGTCCAAATGGAATGAAACGGGAAAATAATACTGCTGCAAAGCAAAACTTTTTGTACGGCAGTTCTTGATTTTAATAAACAAATGTGCATGTCGGTGATATGTTGTTATCAAAGAATTGATGAGGCCAGGCTGACTTCTGGAATACTGTCCTGGTAATTTCCTGCCACGGACTCTACCTCTGTGGCAGAGATCGACTGGCTGAGCTCTCGGAGTGAACTCTTGGTTACGTTCAGACACGCACGCTTTAGGATGTGGCGCACCTTCTTGCCAAGGAGCATGTACAGCAGGGGGTTCATGCAGCTGTTGAAGAAGCCTAAACTAGTGGCAAGGGGAAAGCCATCCTTCAGCAGCTTGAGGAGGTAATATGAGGAATGTACGGTCAGCTCCATCAAGCTGAACACATGAAAGGGTGCCCAGCACAGGAAGAAGGCCAGAATGACTGCGGTGACCATTTTTGAAAAATTAGATACGTGAACTGATCCCCCAGACTGTTTCACTTTCATGGACAGAAGTATGCCCGTCACGCATATGGCGGTAAACGGCAAAAGAAAGCCCACAGTGGTACGGATGACCACTATTGCGAAGTGTATCACAGCTGCTTTGTATTCGTCATGTGTGTGGAAGTTACTGAAGCACACCACCCTGTCGTGTATGTGTATGATGTCGCGAAAGACCAGCGCAGGGCAGCTCAGTATGGCCGCCACCACCCATACGAAACCGCACACAAACCAGGCTCTGGCGACCGTGCGGTGCCTCTGAGACCAGTTGAGATGGACCAGGGAGACGTATCTGTCCACACTGAGCACGGTGAGAAACAGGACGCTGGCAAACATGTTCATCACAGACACAAACGAGTTCAGCTTACACATGACCACGCCAAATTCCCAGTGGAAGTCCCTCAGGATGTAATCGATGTAGAAGGGCAGAAAAAGCACAAACACGAGGTCAGCTATGGCTAGGTTGAGCAGCCACACGCTGTTGACTGTCTTTTTGCTTTTAAATGCCGTCACCCAAATAACGGTTCCGTTTCCAATCACGCCAAGCGCAAAGATGAGAATGTAGATCACCACGGAGACGATGTGGATGGGGTTTGACTGCTCGTGGCCACCTCTGAGCACCTCATAGTCCCCGTACTCCAGATCACACGTGTAGTTGTAGTCTTCAGCTTCAACATCCATTACTGCAAAGATGTCACCTCGAGGTCAAAGTTCCCTGTTTGAAGGGAAAAAATATAATTAGAGCAGTGTTGTAATGTGACAAAGTAGAAATACTTTGTTACTGTACTTATGTAGAATTTTGACGTATCTTTACTTCGTTATTTACATTTCTAGCGACTTGCACTTTTGCTCCACTATATTTCCTCAATAAAATGTGTACCTTTACTTCAATACATTTTACTTAACCATCTTAAGTTACTCGTTCCTATAATATAAAATTAAAAGAAATTTGATTGGGCAATGCCTGTTTGTTCTCCCAGTCTGTGACTTCACGCAGCCCCTTCTCTTTCCCTCACTCTCCCTCACAAACCCAGCCTCTCCCCTGCCACTTATGTGAAAACTGTGGTTCCTGCTGTGAACAAGCTAGACGCATATGCAGATATCAATCGTTACAAAAGGTCTTTGTGGCCTCACAGTGAAACCACTGTAAATTCCTGATAGGTGTGAAAATGACAGTAGCTGCTAAAAAGGAGAGGTTTGGTGTTCTCCAGGACATTAACTGCTTTAGAGCAGCAAGGTATGAAGTATTCGGGCCACTAGTCTTCCCATTAAAGAACACGGAGACAGATATCCAGTTTAGGGTGATTTATTTGCTGTGTTTCTTCTGGTATTTACACACAGCAGTAAACCAGTAAAGCACAAACAAGCTTGAACAACAAGGCTCCGTCCGTGTCAGGAGAGAGAGAAAAAAAAAACTCCAACTGAGCTCTGCACTTTACACAGAGCGGTGCGTTCACTAGTGATGGAACAGCCACGGTGCATTCAAAAGCATAGGAACTATTAAATTCATACAGAAACAAGCCATAACCAAACAGAACCTATAGTAAACAAACCAACACAACAATGTGAGCTTTCTAACAGCTTTGTTAATAAAGGTTAATAAAGGTTGAATGAATATACTTCATTAGAATCAGACTTTTTAAAGATCAATCTTTCATTGTTCAGTTCAAAGAGGGCAACAGTCTGAGCAGCATTATGTAGCATTATATTTACCTAATTAAACCCAGAGCTGATGTTGTGTTCACAGTGAAACTGTGCAGATAACTAATGATGACTGTCAGCATTGTGGAGTTTTACAAGTTAAAATTGAAGTGTCTCTGACTCTGAACTCTGTGAAGTCACTTACCATAATACCAATGGGTAGTTAGGATTTTTTAGAGATAATTCTGTAAAAAAAATAATAATACACCCCATATGGCTTTGAAGTGTGTAAATGTCACAGAAATGACAGTTCAGATATCTAAATGGCTTCATTTTTACAGAAACATCTGCAGGCCCAGTGCCCCACTGATCTGACAGCTCACTGAGTGATGCTTGTGTCACTCTCCCGCTGGCCATTTGCAAGCAAATCACCTGGGATGGATCTTTATTGCAAATTAAGCACAGGGCCAAGAACAAAGTGGATGTCTGTAGTCTTAAATATTTCAAAGTGGTTTGTGCAAATTCTGTTTTATAAATCTTTACATTTCTGTCAGTTTGGGATTACAATGGTATTTTCTCTTAGAAGTATTACATAATTCCTGCGGAAAGTGCTTCAGACGGCACCACAAGAGCTAAAACTAGCTACTTCTGCAGCTCTTAAAGCTTGCAAATGATTGTAAAGTCCATATAAGTAAGTGTATAAACACTGGCAGGAGTGCAAATGTTTCATTAGCATGTAACATCATAAAAATTGTACAGTTTGATTTGCTTTAAAACAGTTGCACGCCACTTTAGCCCTGACCCTGCGCTAACTAGCCCTTAGCTCTTGAATGCAGTCAAAATTAAACTTTATTTCTCCAAAATGAGGTAATTCAAGAGCGGTCTACGATAGATTTGATTTTTTTTTTTTTTTAGCTTTTTCCACAAAATCTCCACTTTAAACAGTCTTGCCCTTTGCTTCATGTTCATTCTGTAACATATTCTCACCTCAGACTTGTTGTAATTTTTCTGCTCTTCACCAAAATCCCAGTTCCCTCTCTTGTCTTGATTGTCATTCAGTTATTGTGTCCGAATCAGAGATGGGTGTGCCCTGGAACATTGTGCCAACATCTGTTTAAATAAACAATACAGACAAATTCCTCACAGTTGATGCACCAAAAAAAAAAAGTATAATTTATTATTTTTTTTGAAAGTACACAGGCAAGAACTGACAAAGTTAGAATGTATCATATTTCTGCATCAGAATGCAAAAAGAAAACAAGTTTAACGTTTTTAGGTGCATAAAGACAAAAAAAAAAACATCTGGGTGAAAGGTTTGCTAATCTTTATTTTGTATCACCATCAAGGTCAGAATAGTTTAGAAAGAGTTTGAAAAAGTGCCATAAATAAAAAGAAAAGGCCTGCTATTTTAAAAGTGGCACAAATTGACATGAACATTTTTTTTTTAAATAAACAATGAAAATAGCTTTAAAAAGTCATACTAAAGCAACAAACTCATGATACTGCAAAGTTGAAGCTACTTTAGAAAACAATCAAGATTATATATGAGTCAGTGCTTTTGCTGCAGTTCAGAACCACAGCTAAACTACAACGGGTGTCCCCCCCCCCACCCCCGATTTGAGCCTGAAAGGAGATTTCTTACCTAAATGTGCAGAAATGGGTTCAACTGTGTTAAATCAGCAGCTGCTCCGGACTGGAAGTCAGTGGAGGATTTGTTTTTGTGCAGAGCCTCGTCTGTGTTCCTCTTCTTCGGCTTCAGAAAACTTTTTCGCCCTCATGTGAAGTCTGCGGCTGAACCCCTCAACTGACTCCGTTGTTGCGCAGAAACATGAAGGGTGCGTCTGGTGACGCGTCCTGCACGCGCAAACCTCAGCGGGGGGGGGGGGGGGAACTCATTGGTCATCCGCACGGAATGAAAGCTGCTTTCATTCAACAGACCTGTGACTTTTCTCCCCCCTCCTGTAACTGCAGGGTGAACTCATGGAGGCTTTAAACCTCAGGAGAGCTGTGGAAGTTCTTTTTTTTTTTTTTTTTGGGGTGGGGGGTGGGGGGGTCGTTTTTGTTCGAGTTTGGTTCCAGTGACTTCCTCTTCGGTGCTTTTAAAGAGGCAGGGGCGGATTTAATCATTATGGGGCCCAGGGTGAAAAACATTCACGGGGTCCTTCACTTCCCTCTTTTTACTGCTAACCCCATATTTACTTCAAACCAACTTGAGAAACGCCTTACTTGCCATAATTTTCATCTAAGTTGTTATGTGGAAAAATGACAGATTGTGCACGTTTTTGTCAGCTCTTGAAAATATATGTGTGGGAAACCGCACAAAATTTATGTTGCGGATCAACCTCATCTACTACCACACCACATTTTGGTTCATCCATCCAGTCATCCATTATCTTTTACCCGCTTCTTCCTTTTTGGGTTGCGGGGCCCATGTCCAGCAATCACTGTGTGAGAGGCGGGGGACACCCTGGACAGGTCTCCAGTCCATCACAGGGACATGAAGAGACAAACGAGACAAACAACCATTCACTCTCTCACACACAGAGAGACAATTTAGAGTTACCAATCATGTTTTTGGTCTGTGGGAGGAAACCGGCGTACCCGGAGAAAACCCACGCATGCACAGAGAGAACATGCGAACTCCACCCAGAAAGGCCCCCGGCCAGGATTTGATCCAGGGCGACCTCCTCACTGAGAGGCAGCAGCTCTACCAACTGCACCACCGTGCTGTCTTTTGGCTCAGTGGTTATAAAATTGACTGAGTTGTAACCATTTCTGTGCTTCCTGAAGTTGGTTAGTTGTGGTGGCCATCTTGAATCAGGCTGACCTAAAAAAATTAACAATGGTAAACAAACATCCAATGATTATATTCTGAGAGTTTCATTAAAATCTGTCCAGTGGTTCTTCAGATATTTTGCTAAAAGATAGAAAAATCAAACAGGAATATGCACACACAGGCACAGACCAGATCTCCCACCTTTTCTGGCAGCAGGAGACTATAACTGACGCAGATTAAAATTTTCAACATTTATTTTCCATCACAGTATAAACAATCTTAAAATCTTTTTCCAATGTTTTTTTTTTTTTTTTTAAGAGTAGTAAGATGTTGATTCATTTTCTCCATAGCTGTGGATGTTTCTGTGACAGATTGCATAACCAGACAACTAGTTTTATGTCTAAAAGGAGCTGGAAGTTGTTTCTAATCATTAAACTTGTCCTCTTTAAGCCTATTTTGCAAAGAAGTTGTAATAAAAACAGAAAAAATATATAATTTTCTGTCCACTTAGATGTCACGATTCAACTTTTTGTGAGCCAGGACATGTTTTCTTCTTCTGTCTTCATTTGCATGCTGTAAATCTTTAAAGTTATTTTGGACCATACCTTTTTGCAAAAAAAAATATTTAAATAAAAACAAAAATGCTGCAAAATCATCAGGTGTTTCACGAGACTCCTGTGAGGTCAAACCTTTGATACCAGATACTTTGCTGATATCAAAATCAGGGCATCCGTCCCCCAGTCCACAACTGATCCCTCTGTCTTTGTCCCTTGCTCAGCTGTCTTCAAACAGTTTGAACCCATTTCACTCCCATTTCTAAACAAAGTCGTTGGTCTGATGAAACCCTGCGGTTCCCCCGCTGACCCCATTCCTGCGTCGTTTTTCAAACAAGTTCTACCCACGATTGGGCCCTCTGTTCTTACTATTATAAATAGTAATATTGTGACAAGTGTGGTTCCCGATGTTTTCAAACATGCAGTAGTTCATCCGTTAATTAAGAAACATGGACGTGACCCTTCGACTTGCTCAAATTTCAGACCAATCTCAAAACTTCCCTTCCTGTCCAAAATCCTGGAGAAAATAGTTTTCATTCAATTAAACAAGTTTTTGAATGAGAACAGAATCTTCAAGATTTTTCAGTCTGGTTTTAAACAACTCCACAGCACTGAAACAGCATTAGTAAGGGTTTGTAACGATATTATGATCTCAAACGATTCAGGTCAATTTGTGGTACTTGTGCTCCTGGACCTTACTGCTGCTTTTGATACTGTTGACCACAGTATCCTTATATCACGGCTGGAACAGTGGGTTGGGATCACAGGTGCTGCATTAGAATGGTTCCGCTCATACCTGAGTGGCAGGAGTTTTTGTGTCAAGGTTGGTAATAATGTATCCGCCTCATTACCTCTTTCTTGTGGGGACCCACAGGGTTCGATTCTTGGACCCCTTCTGTTCTCACTTTATTTGCTCCCACTGGGGTCCATCCTGAGGAAACATGGTTTTTCATTCCATTGCTATGCTGATGACTTCCAGATCTACCTGCCTGTGAAACAGCAAGTGTTTGCTCCATTCACCCTCTGTTAAAATGTCTGGACGACATTAAGGCCTGGATGGCTTGAAATTTCTTAAGTTTTAACGATGAGAAGACTGAAGTCATTGTCTTTAGCCCTAGCTCAACTACCACCACTGATCCTGTCAACCTGGACTCTCTTCAGCCATATCTGAAGCAGTCTGGTAAAAATCTCGGGATGGTTTTAGAATCTGACTTCAAGTTTGACAAACAAATCAACTCTGTTCTGCAGAAAAGCTTCTTCCAACTCAGACAGGTAGCTAAGCTCAGGCCAGTGTTGTCCAGACCCGACCTTGAGAAACTAGTCCACGCCTTTGTCACGACCCGATTGGACTATTGCAATGCACTCTATGCTGGGGTCAGCCAGGCCTCCATTTCACGTCTTCAGCTCGTCCAGAATGCTGCTGCTCGGCTTTTAACCGGAACTCGTAGGTCTGAACATATTACTCCAGTTCTGTCCTCCCTTCACTGGCTCCCTGTTCGTACGAGGATAGTCGTTAAAATTCTTCTGTTGACCTTCAAATGCTTAAATGGCCTCACACCCCTTTACCTCTCTGAGCTTCTGGAACCTTACGTTCCCTCTCGGGCCCTGAGATCATCCGATCAGCTGCTTTTGTCTGTTCCAAAAACAAGACTGAAGCTCAGAGGACATCGGGCTTTTTCAGTCATGGGGCCCGTACTCTGGAACAACCTGCCCCCCCAACATCAGGCAGGCCACCTCCCTTTCTCACTTCAAATCCCTGCTACAAACACATCTGTTCTCGCAGGCATTTCACACAGTGTAAATTGATCTAGTGTTTTTTTTAATCTGTGATCCTATGTTTTAAATGCTTTTTATTAATTCTTCAGTTATTATTGTATTTTTTTCTCTTTCATTTTACTCCCATTGATTGTTGTTGTTAAGCACTTTGATAACAGGTTCTGTTTTAAATGTGCTCTATAAATAAAGTTGACTTGACTTGACTTTGTCTGAATATATGCCTGTTTGTTTTATAACACTGTTTCCTACATTTTGCTTCAGGCAATCAACAGTCATGCTCATATCTCCAAAATAAATCCATGGCAGCTAGAGTTGTGCAGCTGGTATTGCAGCAAATAAGCATTGCCTTTCCACAAAATCCATAAGCTCCTTCATGACTCTCAGCCTCCAACGTTCATTATAGATTCATTACGTAGCTCTCATCAGAACAGTGCACACCCATATTAAAAACTAAAAATCTTTTTTTGTTTACAGTTTCCAGCCAATTTGCACGTATCTGTAATGATGGGTCATTATCTGTAGAGTCAGAGCAGCTATTACACAACAGGCTGAGCTGGTGTCTGATGTCATCGGAGGAGTCATTTGGTGTTTTTGGTCATTTGTTATTCTTTGCAGGATGTATGCTAAAACAACATGATTCATGAGTAATTAAAGTATATAAACAACTGTAATTCAGGCTTGTATAACCTTACGCTAATGTTAGCCTGTGAGCTCTTTGGTTTTCTTTAAAATAAAAATCTAAAGAACAAAACATTGAAATATTCCAGGATGCACTGCAGAAATCAAATGAAACAAAAGCCCTTACACACACAGTTGTTAGGAATCAAAACTGTTTATGTATGTTAATATCCGAATTCAACCTTTTTAAAAAAAATCAGGTTTACTTATGATAACGTCAGACCAAGTTCATAATGTTTTTTCCTTTTCTTTTCTATGAACTCTTGCAAAACTTTAGCAGAATTAACGATTGGGTTAATAGTCCTCTGTCAAGCTTCATGTGACGGCATTTCAATCTTGCAAGCTACGACTTTCATAGAGATGCCTGTTTTTTCCAGCTTTGAAACTTTTTCATTCAACCTTTATTTATACAGGTCAGTCCCAATGAGTCTCGGGGACTCATTTACAAGAAAGACCTGATTGTAACAAAGAATGATGACAATAGTGGACAACAACGACAACAATAGACAATCATAAGGGATGCGTACAAATTTTATTATTATTATTTTAAATAAATGAAAATAAAAATGGTAATTAAAAGGATAATTAAAAGGAAAAGTAGCACAAAAAAAAAAAAACTGCTAGATTGTAAGGTGGTGTAGAAAACTAAAAACAGGAACATGTCTGCAATGGTTTTTGCCAGGAACTTAGCAGATGTTTGAAGCCACTTAGAGAGGTCAAGGTCGAGAGCTTCACATCTTTTTGTAAGATATTCCAGGAAACAGGAGCCGAGTAGGAGAAGGCCCTTTTGCCTAGTTCAGTCCTCACTGAGGGAACACTGCAGGTAATAAAGTCCTGAGAGCGCACGCTGTAGCTGCACTCACACAGAGACATGTAGGAGGAGATGTATGAAGGCAGCAGACCAAGAAGTGATTTAAAGATGAAAATGTACCAGTGGGAGAGTCTGCGTGAAGTTAATGATGACCAGTTAACCAGTGAATACAGGGTGCAGTGGTGGGTACGATAATCACAGCCAGTTATGAAGATTGACAG